TTGACTGAATTCATTTATTAGTTTAGTAGGGTTTTGGTGGAATCTTTAGGGTTCTCTATATACAGTATCATGTCATCTGCAAATGATGACAGTTGTACTTCCTCCTTTCCAGAGTGGATGTCTTTTGTTTCTTCTTCTTGTCTGGTCACTGTGGCTAGGACTTCCAGTATTATGTTGAATAAGAGTGGTGAAAGCAGACACCTTGTCTTGTTCTCCATCCTAAGGGAAACACTTGTAGTTTTTGCCCATGGAGTATGATATTGGCTGTGAGTTTTTTATATGTGGCCTTTATTACATTAAGGTATGTCCCCTTCACACTTTGCTAAGTTTTTACCATAAATGGGTGCTGAATTTTATCAAATGATTTTTCTGCATCTATCGACACCATCATGTGGTTTTTGTCCTTCATTTTGTTTATGTGATGTATTACATTTATTGACTTGTGGATATTGTACCAACCTTGCATTCCCAGAGTAAATTCCACTTGATCATGGTGTATGATCTTTTTAAAAAATTTTTATTGATTGGTTGATTTTGAGAGAGAGAGAGAGAGAGAGAGAGAGAGAGGAAAAGAGAGATTTGTTGTTCCATTTATTTATGCATTCACTGAGTGCTTCTTGTATGTGCCCTGACTGGGGATCAAACCCATGACCTTGGTGTATTGGGATAATGCTCTAACCAACTGAGCTATCTGGCCAGGGTGGTGTGTGATCTTTTTAATGTATTGCTGGATTAGGTTCGCTAATAATTTGTCCAGGTTTTTTGCATTTATGTTCTGGTTTTGGAATTAGGATAATGCTGGCCTCATTAAATGAGCTTGGGGGGTCTTCCCTCCTCTGGAAATTTTTGGAATAGTTTGAGAAGGATAGATGTTAGTTTTTCTTTGAATGTTTGGTTAAAATCACATGTAAAGCCATCCAGTCAAGGGCTTTTGTTTGTTGGGAGTTTTTGGTGTTTTTTTTTTTATTACTGCTTTAATTTCACTAGTTGTAATCTGTCTATTCAGATTCTCTGATTCAGTTTTGGAAGATTGGATGTTTCTAGGAATGTATCCATTTCATCCAGATTGTCCAATTTGTTGGCCTATAGTTGTTTGTAATATTTTCAACATTTTTAAATGTTGTCACCAAGTTATGTAAACACACATCTCTGTAAATAACCTTTCTAAAGTAATTTTAAAAAATAAACTCTACTTACTAAAAAAATTAAAATAAAGTAATTGTTGATAGATAGTTAGTTATGGCCATTTTATTATTCATATTTTGATCTTTTTTTTCCTTCTTCTAAATAAGTCTCTGTAAAATTTCTTATAATACTGATTTGATAGTGATAAACTCCTTTCGCTTTTTCTTGTCTGGGAAGCTCTTTATTTCTCCTTCAATTTTAAATGACAGCCTTGCTGGTTAGAGTAGTCTTAGTTGCTTTTCATCACTTTGAATATTTCTTGCCAATCCCTTCTGGTATGGAAAGTTTCTGTTGACACTCTCATGGGAGCTCCCTTGTAGGTAACTAAATGCTTTTCTCTTGTTGCTTTTAAGAATCTCTCTTTGTCTTTAATCTTTGGCATATTATGATGTGTCTTGGTGTGGACCTCTTTGGGTTCATCTTGTTTAGGACTTTCTGTGCTTCCTGGACTTGCTTGTCTTTTTCCTTTCCCTGATTAAGGAAGTTTTCAGTCATTATTTCTTTAAATAGGTTTCCAACCCCTTGCTCTCTCTCTCCTCCTTCTGGTATACCTATGATATGAATGTTGTTATGCTTGATGTTGCAGAAACTTCTTAAGTTATACTCATTTTTCTGGATTCTTTTTCCTTTTTGATGCTCTGATTGTGTGTTTTCTGATACCTTGTTTTACAAATTGCTGATGCAATCTTCTGCATCATTTAGTCTGTTGTTGATTCCTTCTAGTGTATTCTTCATTTCAGTTATTATGTTCTTCATTTCTACTTGTTCTGTTTTTCATGGTTTCTATGTTTTTCTTTGTGCTGTTGAAGTTCTTACTAAGTTCCTTGAGCATCCATATAACCATTGTTTTGAACTCTATATCTTGTAGTTTTCTTACCTTCATTTCATTCATTTAGGGTTTTTTCCCTGAAGATTTCTCCCATTCTTTCATTTGGAACATTTTTTGTCTCCCCATTTTGGGTGCCTCCCTGTGTTTGATTCTATGATTAGATAGAGCTGCTATGTTTTCCAGTTCTGGTAGAGTGGCTTTGTGTAATAGGTGTCCTGTAGGGCCCAGTGGTACAGCATCCCCAGTCACTCAAGCTGGGCAGTCCAGGTGCACTCTCCATGTAGGTTGTGGGCACCTTTTTGTTGTAGTTAAGCCTTGATTGCTGTTGGCACATCAATGGGAGGTATTGACCCACAGGCCAATCAGCAACAAAAACTGGCAGCGACCACAGCAGCTGGGCCAACTTCACAGAGCAAATCTCACTTCAGCAAGGCTCTGGTGCCCACTGAGTCTGCCCCTTTAGTGTGTCACTCATGGAGGTGGTTTGGTGGTGTCCATTGTGGTCTGAAGCTGTTCATTATGTGTGCTGGCTCTGGGGCCTACTTGGGAGGTTCAAGCCAAGGTCAGCTGCTGACTACACCATGCCCAGGGCCACTCAGAATGAGTTACAGAGCAATCTTCAGATGGCTACTACTTGTGTCCAGAGAGGACAAGAGGCTGTGTAGAGCACCATGAAGGACCTTGGATGACATGGTAAATGCTTTGGCATTTCTTTGGCATGAAATTGGGACTCATTGCTGGGCGATGAGCAGACGTGTGACATGATCTGACCTCTGACCTACCCTTAACATTATCTAAAATAAACTGAATTATTTGACACGTTATTATCTGTCTCACCTCCAAACTGAGAGGGATTTATCTTGGTCACCTTTGTGTCCACCTGAGAACAACAGTCAATAAATATACGTTGACTAATTGACAGGGACAAATGTTTCCAAAGAGGACAGTACTCCATGGCTTATCCTGGGGAACTTGGCTCCAGAGCTTGCAAGCCAAATGTGTCCAGGTATCCTTTTGCCTCCATTTTTTGGAGGACAAATGACTTCTTGAATTTCCTTTCATTTGTGGGATCTTAGGTACAGTTCCTAGGACCACGGCCCTCAGTCCCCAAATCTGCTGCAGCTATGTGATCAAGCAGAAACATTCAATGACCTCAGACCCTCATTTCATGCAGCTGTGTGAATTTGAATCCAAATGCAAGCCTCCCATTTTAGACTGCAGTAACTAGGATTTACCGAGCACTTACTCTGTGCCATGCACAGCTAGGATTGACATTACCCCAAGTAAGTCTCTAGGATTGTCCACAGTTAATGATTAGCTTGCCCTCCCTGAAGTTTCCAGGGACTCTTGAACTGTCTGCCTGGTAAGCTGTATTCTCCTCCAAGGTTACAGGGATTCTGGAGCTGTCTGCTCAGGAGGAGGGTGTCCCAAGAGATCCCCAGAGAGACTTCCTAAAAGGACTTGGCAGGTGAGCCCCGTTTCAGGGAATGGGCTGATGGGATCATGCCTCTGAATAGCACTAACCAGTCTTTAGAGGCCAGAGCTATCCAGGAGAGTGAAAATCTTCAGGAAAAAGCAGTCTGCAATCCAGAGGATCCTTGAAACAGAATCTGCCAGGTCTTAGTGAGGAGGCAGCACTGGGCAAAGGAATAGGTATCTTTAGCGTGGCGCAAGGGAGAGAATGGAGTCAAGGAAGGAGGCCCTTCCAAGGAGGTGAGGCTTAAAGAATGGCAAAGAGCCAGCCATGGAAAGAGAGAGAAACAGAGGGGCTGGTAATGAAACATTCACTTATATTCCTTTAGATTTTAAATCATATATATATATATATATATATATATATATCTTTATTGATTTCAGAGAGAGGAAAGGAGAGGGAGAGAGAGAGAGAGAAACATCAATGATGACTCATTGATCTAGCCCACAACCCGGGCATGTGCCCTGACCGGGAATCGAACCCTGATTGCCTAGGTCGATGCTCAACCGCTAAGCCACGTCTGGCCGGGCTAGATTTTAGAATATAAAAGAGGAGACACAAGCATCTGAGGTCTTGAGCATTCTGGCTGCTGCTGGCCAGACAATGGGGAATGGGAAACCAGCCAACTGGTGGGACCCCTGACTTGATTCCTTAAATCAAAGGTCATTAGACTTAAACACTGCAGCCTCCATCAAGGTGCACATGTTGGAACTTGGAAGCCAGCTACAAAGCCTTGGAAAAGCTCTCCCTGAAGCCAGTGCATAGATGGAAACGATCTCAGCAGTTATAATTTCTAAAGTGATTCTGTGGGGTAGGAGCTGTGCGCTAGGTTCAGTTGAAGGAAATGGATGCTACTTGTGTTAGTCAGCATTTACTGTGGTAACAAACACCCAAACACCTCAGGAGCTTAGCACCATACATATTTTCCCCCATAGGTGTGTGGGCGGGCTGTGGCTGTGCTGGGCTCAGCTCAACTCTACGTGTGTTATCATTCTGGGACCCAGGCTGAAGGTAGAGCACCCATCTGGGATATAATACACTCGTGACAGAAGGCAGAAGTGCAAGGGTTCCTGATCAACCGTATAATCACATCCCCTCACATCTCATGAGCAAGCCAAACTCAACGAGAGGGGGATACATACTCTTCCCCACGGTGCACTGGCAAGTCACATGAAAATAAATGGAGACGTATAATCCCAATACAGGGGGGAGCAAATTGTCTGCCACACCACTGTATTTTACGCACTGAGGGATTTACTACATGGAACTGAGTGTTCACAAAACTGTCAGAAGTGCTGGAGAGGTAAGATCTATACTGGGTGCTGTGCTTTTGGAGAATGCATGCAGACTGAAGTGAATGCTGAGTGACAATTTACTCATAGCCACAACACATCACTTCTGGAAGAAAGCAGCAAGGTTCGGATTCATCTCCATAAGCAGCTGATGACTAGTAGGGCAATTTAAAATAAGAAAGATTCACCTCTGGGACATCTTTCCTTCACAGGTCTGGCCATGCATTGGTTGCGGAAACTCCAGGGGATTTGCATCCTATGGAGGACTCGGATGTCCTGTCACAGTATCTACATTCATAGCAAGCAACTGACGTCTCTGCCGTGGGGCCACCAGGAAGTCCAGGCCAAGTTTAACTTTGCTAGTGATGTGATAGATTACTGGGCTGGCATGGAGAAGGTAATGGGGTGGAGAAGAGACACATTTTTGGACAATTGGGCTGAGTTTACTGAGTCATCCATACATTCAATATCTATTGAACGCATTACGTGTCAGGTACTATGATGAGCTATGATGTTCATCTCTCATGAAGGCAGCATGGGGTGGGAGCAAGAGATAATGGGCTTGGCAAAAAAAACGGGGGGGGGGCTGGGAGACTGGTGCAAGTAGGACAATCTGGTAAGTCCCTGGGCAACTGACACACAATTTGCCTACACATCCTGCACATGCTCTGTTGTGACCTCCCAGGGCGAGACAAGGACTGGTGGTCTGGTGTCAAAGAAGAGGCAAATTGGGATTTAAGACTGAGTCCGTCTTCTCAAAAGGTTATGTGTCCCTGTCATTAGGAGTAAGCAAGCAGGATGGTCACTAGGCAGAGGTTGTCGAAAGGACCCCAACATAAGACATCACAGAAAGAGTGATGAGGAAATTTCTGGTTCCTTTCCCACCTAGACTTCTAGAATTCCACCCCATCCATTGCTTTCCACCTGAGGTTCTGTGCACCTTTCTGGAGGATGGAAGGATTCCTCTTGGTTGGGATACAGGAGGAAGTGGGTCAGCCAGCATGGGCTTAAACAAGTGACACTCAAAGGGAGTCATGTCGTGATGCTGCCGTCAGGTCCTGACACCATGAGCCAAACGTAGTGCAGAGATTGCAACTGCTGGGCCTCTAGGCTGAACATGGCCCACATAAAATTCAGTCAATATTTTAAAATTAAAAATTTGCAGGCCCGGCTGAGCGTGGCTCAGAGGTGGAGATCTCGATTCTATTCCAGGTCAGGGCACATGCCCGGGTTGAGGGCTTGATCCCCAGTCGGGGCGTGCAGGAGGCAGCTGATCATTGACTCTCTCATCGTTGATGGTTCTCTCTCTTTCTTTCCCTCTTCCTTCCTCTTTCTGAAATCAATAAAGTTATATATATATTTTTTAAACTTTGCAGATAAAAATTTAGGTTTCTGGCTTTCCTCTAAAAGTTATCCCTCCTTAGAATAATTAGGAAGAATCTTGAATCCATAAAAGAAGTGATTTAATAAATTTGCTACATAACCATCAAAAAAGTGCTCCATCCACAAACACTATAAACAAAATTTTAAAAACTCCCTGGCCTGTGGGTCAGTGGTTAGAACATTGGCCTGCATACCAAAGGGTCTTGGGTTCAATTCCCAGTCAAGGGCATGTACCTGGGCTGCAGTTTCCATCCCCGGCCAGGCCAGGTAGGGGTGAGTGCCGGAGACAACCAATTGATGTGTCTCTCACATCGATGTTCCTCTCTCTCTCTCCCTCCTCTCCCCCCTCCCTCCCTCCCTTTCACTCTCTCTAAAAATCAATGGGAAAAATAACCTGAGTTGAGGATTAACAACAACAAAAAGTAGTGACAGCCAAGGGGAAAATACTCAACTCACATCACAGCAAAAGAGTTAATATTCTTAATACAAAAAGAAACCTTAGAAATCAAGACTAAAAAGGCACAGCCCAATATAAAAATGAGTGAAGTATAAGAAGAGATGGTTCACAGAAGAGTGAACTAAAATGGCCCTTAAATATAATAAAACATGCTCAACCCCATTCATCATAAGAGTACTGCAAATTAAAAAGTCATTGAAATCTTTTTTTTTCAAGTTAAATACAAAATCATATTTTTATTTCAAGTTAAATACAAAAGTTTGACAACATATTCTGTCGGTAGGACTATGAAGAAAGAGACAGTCTCACACATTACTGGTCAAAATGTAAAAGATGCAACTCCTATTGAGAAACTTTGAAAAAGCTCACCCCATAACCAACACATTTTTTTCTTTGACTATTGATCATTGCTCTCAAACTATAATATGGGAACCCCCAAGGATACCTAAGACTTCAGGAGAATCTTTAAAATCAAAATTACTTCCAAACAAAACTAAGACAAAGTTGAACCCTGGTGCATCACTGGTGGAAATGTTAAATGGTTCGGCGTCTGTGGGAAACAAGATGTCAGTTTCTCAGAAAATTAAAAGTAGAACTACCATATAATCCAGCAATTTTACTCTTGGGTGTATTCCCAGAAACATCAAAAACAGGATCTCGGAGGTATATTTATCTGTACACCCTTGTTCATGACAGAATTATTTACAGTAGCCTAAACATAGGAAAACCCAATGTTTATCGATGGATGAGTGAACACACAGAATGTGGCATATCCACACGATGGAATATTAGTCAGCCTTTAAAAGAGTGAAATTCTATTGTACGCTACAGCATGGAGGAACCTTGAAGATATCACGTTAAGAGAAATAAGCCAGACACAAAAGAACAAATGTTGTGATTCCATTTAGATGAAGCCCGTGGACAGAAAGCAAAATGGTGTTGCCAAGGGCTGAGAGGTGGGACAACAGGAGAGTCGTGTGATGGGGACACAGCTTCGGTTTTGGAAAGTGAGAAATTTCTAGAGATGGATGGTGGTGATGGTTGCACAGCAATAAGAATGTGCTTAATGCTGCTGAACTGTATACTTAGAAGGAATAAAATGGTAAAGTGTAAGTTAAATATATGAAAAGGAAAACAGAGCTAGAGATAGCGAGGTAGATGATAGGTAGACAATAGATAATGATAGACAGATGATAGATAGATGATAGATAGATGATAGATAGATAGATAGATATAGATAGATAGATAGATAGATAGATAGATAGATAGATAGATAGATAGATAGATAGATAGATAGATAGATGGTAGATTAGATAGATTAGACAGATAGATTAGATAGATGATAGATGGATTGATCAATGATAACTTTTTTCTTTTTCATTCCCACTCTCTTACGAGCATACAGTGGCATTTCCCAGGGGTTACACAAGTTACACAACAACAAGTGACCACGGAGACAAAATAAAAAATCTGTCTTCTATTAAAGAAGGCATTAAAAGAGACTTGCAAAAATGAAAAGCAATGCCACTCTTCTCAGTTTTTGTTATTTCAGAAAGTATACTTGTCTCTTTATTAAACCACATCTGATTTGTGGTAATATATAATGAATTCATGCTGTTATTTTTTAAAAGCACACACTTATAAAATTTCTGTTTTCATTTCTAACATAGTAATTATTTTTGTTTTTCAAACTATATTTTATTTAGTCCTAATCGCTTTTTTTTCCCATTATAACTCCTGAGTAATGGTCCTCTTGATTATAATTATGAGCAAAATTTTAATTATTAGGAAATAGGGATGCTATTTAAATAGTGGCCAGTTTTCCATAAACATTGCAGTGTAGTCATGAATAGTATTGAAAATGTACTATTTTCAGAGAGAAACATTCAGATATTTCTTAACGACAAAATTAATGAAATAGGAATAAATGCTATGATAATATTAGTCTTACTTCCAATTATTATCAGCCTACATGACTTCAGTTAGCCTTGAGGCTTGAAGTTGAGCAACTGTCCTATTCGTTAGTCAACAACCTCATTCAAGTCACCTGTAGAAACTTCAAGCAAGAGTTCTGACTTTAAAATTATAAACACAAACACAGAATGCCCAAATCCCAATTACATCATAATTTTTAGATTAAAAATGTTTAAATAGGAAGATGTTAAGGAAACACAATCAAAATTCAACATAAATTATAAGAACATGTACAGTCCAAGTACAAGTAATTGGCATTAATCTGAACAAGGCCTCAGGCTTAGTTTTCAGCTTCATTATTTGCATTAACTATGATTGGCAGTTTATTTTTGTGTGAATGAGAACTGAGAAAGAGATGCCAACCCAACTGTGTATCATAACTGTCCTTTGAGAAGCAAAAAAACGTATCACAGAAAATATTGCGAGAGATCGGAGGCCACTTTAGCTTTATGCTCTATGATTGTGTTTATCTCGCTTTCCCGCATTCAGGGCTGGACTGATGTGCGGATACTATTATTTTATAAATTCTAATGTAAATACGGATAGATAGAACCCATAGAAATAAAACCTCTTCAGGGTTTTTCAAATACTTTTAAAGAGTGAATAAAGGTCCTGAGATCAAGAAGCTTAGCCAGTGTAGTTGTGCAGGAGCCTTTCCCCAGGCTTGGGCACCAGCCCCCCAATCAGTAGCTCTTCTCTTTCTTCAGGCTGGCAAGAGGCCCCCAGACCCAGCCCTCTGGTGGGTGAGCGGCGATGGGGATGAAGTGAGGTGGAACTTCAGTCAACTGAGCGAGCTCAGCCGGCAGGCAGCCAATGTCCTCTCGGGAGCGTGTGGCCTGCAGCGTGGGGACCGTGTGGCCCTGGTGCTGCCCCGAGTGCCTGAGTGGTGGCTGGTGGCTCTCAGCTGCATGCGAGCAGGTTGGTAACTGACGCCCTAGGCTGGCACTGTCTCCCTTGTGAAGGAAACTGATGACAGAGAAATCCCACCATTCCTCCCAAAAGATGCCCCTTCCCACAGCATGCTGTCCCCCCCCCATATGTAGATACCACCTTTCTATTGATTTAAGCAAACTATCGACTAAGCCTCACGGGAGAGGCGGCTCGCACAGGGTGAACAAGGCAGGGGCTATGTGCTCATAGGACCACAGATCTTTGGAGAAAGACAGCCATTAAACTATTAATTGTACACATAAGTATTTAATCACAATTTTGATAAGTGGCACGTGAATTTTATAAGAACCTATTAAAAATCTGGTCGCGGCCAGTTTTGTAAATGAAGTTTCAGTGGAGCAGGGCCGTGCCCGCTTTTGCACTAGCGTAAGGGGAGACTTGCGTAGCTGGGACAGGGAGCGTCTGGTCCACAAAGTCTAAAATATTTACTATTTGGCCTTTTTGCAGAAAAAGTTAGCCAACCCCTGCTATAAAAGGAGGCCCGACCTGACTGATATGCAGAGGTCACAGATGTCTCAGCGGAAGGGATGTTTAGGCTGAGAACCGCAGGATGCGTTGGATTTGACCAGGAAAGGAGGCAAGGGGGAGCGCTCCAAGCAGAGCCAGCACAGAGGGCAGGGAGGCCTGAAAACTACGAGGAAACCCGGCGGGCTGTCTGTGCGCCGGAGTCCAGGCGGCGGGGAGGAAATAGTGGCCCACGTGCCTGAACCGATGGCAGGTGCTAAAGCGGCAGGACCGTGGGCCGTGGTGAGGGTCGGGCCCCATCCCGGGAAAGCATGCATGGATGCAGCGACGTGATCACGTGCTGCTTGTCAAAGTCCTGTACACGGTGCATAGAGAATGAGACAAAGAGGCAAGAGTTGGGGCGGGAAGGCCAGGGAAGAGATGAGGGGTGACGGTGGCTTCCACTGGGTGGGGCGCTGGAGACGGAGATGAGTGGATGGATTTCAGAGATGGTTAGGAGGGAACCAATAACAGGGTATTTTTGATGCAGGACATATGGCAGGGGAAGGAAGTCAGGGGCTGGGGAGTCACAGACACCTGAGCAACTGTGGACACTGCTGCTTCCCACTGAAGCGAGGAAACGGGTGTGGGGTGTCGAGGAACAACAAGTTCAATTTGATAGCTGTTGGGTTAGGGGCGCCCACTGATGTTCAAGAAGGGATGGGAGTTCCAGTTACAAGACAAGTCACGGGGTGCAGCATACAGCATGGTGACTAGAGTTAGCAATGCCGGATTGTATGTGTGAAAGCTGCTAAGAGACTAGATCATAAAAGTTCTCATCACAAGAAAAAAAATTGCAGTTATGTGTGATAATGGACATTAACTTGTGGTAATCATTTCACAATATGTACATATATCAAATTATTATATTTTATATATGTGGCATATATTTATACATACATAAAACTAGTGCAGTGTCATATGTCAATTATATCTCAATAAAAATACGTATGGGGAAAAAGGAATGAGAAGTGAGAAGTTGGATTTAAGGGCACAACATCGGAGATAGAGACAGAAATTTGAGAATCATCAACGTGCAGATGCAGGAGGAGAGACGTGAAGAGGTGTAGGAAAGAGCCTCGGGGACCTCCAGCACCACCAGCCCCAGGCACGACCTGCCGGCCATGTCCTCAAGCGGCAGGCGCCCTGGGCGGCAAGGAGGGGGCGCACATGCGGTCAAGGGGGGGCAGGAATCAGAGGCATCCGAGCACAGCTGTAGGATCTTGGGCCCCATGGCAGGGTGAGCAGGCCACAAGGGAAAGGTGGCATTATGACAGATGATAGTCTGAAGGAGGGAGCTCAGGCTCGATAGGACTATCGTGACAGCGCTCAACAGGCCTGCGGCGTGGGCCCTGAAGGGCCGAGGGTGGGAAGAAGCTGAGCCAGGGCTGAAGCTCCTTAGCAGGGGAGCGTGTGAAACCAGCGTCGCAGAAGGCAGGACACATCTTACTACTCTCCGGAAGCATAAAACAGACCCACAAGAGCCTCACGAAGTTAGAAAACACACACTAAGGGCACTGCTGCCTAAGAAAACGTAACTAGTGTCCCTGGTTAGGTCACTGCGGTGTTGCAGCACCAAGGACAATTGCCAGTGCCTTCCCTTATTGCTTTAATTACCGTCCGAGTGTTTGGACACAGGAAGCTCCAGTAGGATAGTGTGCGTGTGCGTGCGTGTGTGTGTGTGTGTAGGGGGTGACGGTGGGGTTATTGGCCTTAGGCTGTCAGTGGTGTGACATTAGACCTCTTAAAGCTCTGACAATCTAGGGAAATCTGTGTTTAAATCACTCTCTGGTCCCTGTCTGTCATTATCGATGCTCCGCATGGGTCATCCCTCCCCAGCCTCCCCTCCCCTCCCCGGTGGAACCCACGGGCTGTTCCATCAGGCTTCTCTAGGGGAAAAAACGGCCCCCCTTCCCCTTCTCTCTAAGCCATTGTCTTCTCCAGGCCTCGTCTTCATGCCCGGGACTGTCCAGATGAAAGCCAAAGACATTCTCTATAGGCTGCAGGTGTCCAAGGCCAGGGCCATCGTGGCTGGGGAAGAGGTGGCCCAGGCAGTGGACTCCGTGGCACCTGACTGCCCTTCTCTGAAAACGAAGCTACTGGTGTCTGAAAAAAGTCGGGATGGGTGGCTGGACTTCAAGACACTACTACAGTGAGTATCCACACGTCTTACCCTGGGTTTCCATCAAAAGCGGGCATGAACCAAGCACTTATTTGAAGGTGCTTTATTTGGGAGGTCAGGGAGTGGAGTGTGGGGCTGAGGAGAGTGAAGCTGGGAGGGAAAAGCTAGCACCAGGGTCCCTGCGGGGGTAGGGGGGACCTTCTGAGAGCGCTCGGGACGCTTCTGGGGGCTGTCCATTCAAGGGCCGACAGGCGCTGATCCGTCAGCACCTGACTCCCACTGGCCCAGCGCTGCCCAGGCGGGGACATCACCTGCCCCACTCTCTGGGCCACACACATGCGTGTGCAGTAGGCTCAGAGTCCCGCGCCCTGGGGGCCACAGAGAAGCCCTGGGGCTCGCAGAGAATCGCCCATGATCCCCACTAGAAACACTAAGTGGGTTGAAACTCGCCCGGAGCTGTTCAGTGGATGGAATGAGGGGTGAGGCCAAGAGCGATGAGGTAAAGCGCGAGAGGTGGCTGCCATACCAGGCGTCTAGGCCCCTCTTCGGCCTCTGTCCCCTAAGCCAGGCTGCCTGGGGTCCACGGCAGCACTAGCAGGAGGACTGCGTTCCCCCCACACGCCTGAAATCCCTCCACGGGAGACGCGTTCCTCAGGACACCCGAGGGAGGACGTAAACTTCTCTCTAATGACGGGGTGAGAACCGCCGGGACAGGCAGACCGGGAGCAGCTCCGGGAGACTTGAGATCAGGACACTGGGGGGACGGCGAGAGAGGTGCGCGTGCTTCCAGGCACTAGCTGAGCACCCCGCTTTACCTGGTGTCATGCTAGGGGGCCCAACAACAATTAGGTGAGCATTTATTGAGTTTTTGCTGCAGTTACCTTCCCAGTAACACTATGACGCAGGTATTAGTGATCCCGTTTCACAGATATGGAAAGCGAGGCCCAGAGGAGTTGAATAAGTAGTCCAGAGTCACACAGTTAACAAAGTCTCCAACCCGAGTGGCTTTCAAGCCCAAGTCCNGACCCGAGCGGCTTTCAAGCCCAAGTCCACTGACTTAGGATCTCATGGTCTTCAGCACTGATGAGCCTCCCTCTGGAGTGGGTGGACCGACTTACCCCTGCCAGCAGGGGGAAGGGGGGAAAGACGGGCCACCAGGACATCTGGTGCAGGGCAGACCTGAGAAGGTGACACTCTGTCTCTGTCAGAGGAGCGTCTACCACTCACCGCTGTGTGGAGACAGGAAGCCAAGAGGCAGCTGCCACCCACTTCACCAGTGGGAGCACCGGCCCTCCCAAGGGGNTCTACTTCACCAGTGGGAGCACCGGCCTTCCCAAGATGGCAGAGCACTCCCACGCGAGCCTGGGCCTCAAGACCAAGATGGACACTGGGTAAGGAGACCCTTCTTTCTGCAGAGACCTGCGGGGCCAGGCCTCGGGACTTCCCTGAACGGCTTCTGAGAAAGATAGTTGCGAATGGGGGCACGAGGGAGCATGGCTTAGCCTGCAGGGTACTTAGTGACCTTCAATGCAACATTTCTGTTTCTGATAACGTGAAATCTCAAAACCTCTTCAGGGCTTTGAGACACGAGTCTGCTCTTTTGAATGATTATATGCATGCACGAGCTTTACATGCATTTTCCCCAAGACTGACCTATACCTTGTCCTTTGAGGTGCTGGTCGTTTGTTTTGACACAACCCGCATTCCAAAAGGACACTTTTGTCAGCAGCAAATTACTCTTCAAATTCATTGAAGTAGAAGCTATAATTGAATTAATTAGATGAAATGAGATCTCACATGTCAAAATTCAGAATTTCCTTCCACTCTACATGGACCCCATCAGTGGAATCAGGAAACACTGTGCCAGGGTTGTCATGCAATTAGAGCAAGAGTCTTTGGGGACTTTTCCAGTAGGTCGTGCTTACCAGGTTCATTTTATTATTACAACTGGAAAAATATTTAATGCAAAAAATCCTCAAAAACTTAAATGTCCCACCTATGAGTCTGTGGTACCAGAAAATTAAGTTATTTAAAATAATAAATATTTAAATATCATTTAAAATAATTTAGTAGAAGAGCTATAGTAAAATAAAGTTTCTAACATATGGAAGATAAATGTAACTAAGATATTAGTTGTCACCCCACCCCCCAAATTTGGTCCTGATAGACTATGACCTAATGTTCTTATAGCATTGAAAATACTAATCATTTTCAGGAAGGGACACATGCTACGGCTATTCCCACCACAAGGAAGCTCTTCATGCCCAGCCTAAATCATTCTTGCTTTAAGACAGGCCTAATACTTTTTATTGTGGCCCAAAAGGAGAAAGGAAACCAGCTTAGGCAATTTGGGATGCTTTGAGAAAAGAGAACCAAAGGTCTACTGAACTTGAGCTTAGCAAGGCTACTTGTTAGGATAATCACTTAGATGCCTTTTGTGAGTAAACATGATAAACATTTCCTGGGTGGTTACCACATGTCAAAACCTGTACTGCGTCCTAGGAATAAAGTGAGATGAGACCCAAGTACAGTGTCTGTTAAGTCGTGTCAGCTGGGTCACGCCTTCCGAATGCCCTCCCCGTCTTGAAATGAAATGTATAGATAGAACAACTCTTTCCTCTGCCAGCTTGTACTCACACGCACTCCTGCGAAGGTGTGCAAACACACTCAGGCACCCCCCCAGCACACATGCTGCCCCACCGCACGTGCACACTCCTGCTCCGTTCCCCCCGCGGGCACTGACGTGTGTCCCTGCGTTTCCTCTCTTTTGTCAGCCAGTGGATGGACCTGCGAGCCTCAGACATAGTATGGACCATATCAGACACAGCTTGGATAATAAACATCATGGGCTCATTTCTGGAACCCTGGACGTCAGGAGCATGCATATTTATCCATCTCTTGCCGAAGTTTGACCCGCTGGTCATTCTAAAGGTAAGAGAGGCTCCAGTTTGCACCAGATGCTCAGAGTCAGTCCAGGTTTGCACACTGCAAATTCCTGCAGTTTCTTTCACTTCATCTAATGTTGACGAACCCTTGCCCTATGGACGGACGCTGTTCAGTAAGCAAGATGGAAATGGTCCCTGGCCTCATAGAGCTCATGGTTCAGGGAAAGAGATAACCCCATATACAGATAAAAAGAATATCTTCAGGAGACAGGCATCATGGGCCCTTGGTTCACTCAACACGTATTTACTGGTCTCTTGCTCTGGTGCCAAGTATCAGACAGATGGTGGTGAACCGAGTATAGGGAGGGATGCACTGTTGGAAGTGTGTGTGTGTGTGTGTGTGTGTGATTTCCTTTTTTATTTGAAGCATAGCACAGACTAAAGGTAAAGTGTATAGAGTACATTTATTTTAAGTGTACAGCTTGCAAATAATTTACCTATGTTAGACACTGTATTAGCCAGTTTGGGCTGCTATAACGAAATACCATAGATTGGGAAGCTTGAATGACAGACATGACTCTCTCACAGGTCTTCAGGCTGGGAGGCCGAGATCAGGGTGCCATGACTCTTTCTGGTTTGTAGACAACTGTCTTCTTGCTGTGTCCTCATATGGTGGAGAGAGTGAGCTCTGATGTCTCCTCCTCTTCTTTAAGGGCACTAATCCCATCATAGGGGCCTCATCCTCATGACCTTATCTGAACCTAATTATCTCCCAAAGGCTCCACCTCCAAATACCATCACCTGGGGGTTAGAGCTTCAACATATGAATTGGGGGGACACAACATTCAATCTATAACAGACACTCATGTAATCACCACCTTGTCAAGACAGAAGACATTCCCATTACTGCAGAAGTGCTTGTGCAAGCTCACGCCATTGTCCGCATTCCATAAATTAATCATTCTTTTGACCTCCATCGCCATAGATTAATTTTGCCTCTTTGTGATCTTCATCCAATATGTAATCTTTTGTGTCAGGCTTCTTTCAGTCCACACATTCTCTATGAATACTCTCCATTTGCTGCACGTATGAGGTTTGTTCTTTTGGGCTGTTATATAGCATTTCATTCTGTGTATCAATCATTTCTTTTTCCATCCTATTGTTGATGGACATTAGGGTTATTGCTAGTTTGGGACTATTATCTACGAGGAGTTTTGAAGAATAAAGAATAAATAAGAGTTTTTCCCATGGAACTTGATAGGGCAGCCATTAAGTAAACTCTACAAACAGCCTGACCCAGGTACAACAAAGCAATGGAAATGGGTTCATTTTGCTTGCAAGGGCATATCTGATATTGGACTCTATTTGTGATGAGAAGTTGGACCACTGACATCCTGTAGCCTCCAGATCTCTGTAGGAGTTGAGGGCCCACCCAGACTTCTGTTTGGCTGGCAACAGGTCAGGCATGGTCTGGACTCTCTCAGGAGATTCTGTTCAAATGATTCTGTCATTCTCTGATTTAAACAAATTCTTACTCTGCCTCCTTCCAAAAACGATTTGACGTGGCTTCTGTTGAGTATCACAAATAGAAAAACAACAACAGAAAAACAGATACAAAATTATAAGACCTAGTAGGAAAATATGGATTGGAGTTGTGGGGTGGGGAGACTAATGAGAGTAAGAAGTGCAGCAAATAAGTAGGTAATTGCTTATTAAGCTTCCTCTAAGACAAAGCAATAGGGGAAATGGGATGATTTTCATAGCTTTTAGCAGTTCATCAAGAGTACTTGGAGGAAGCCCTGGTTGGTGTGGCTCAGTTGGTTAGAGCATCATTCCATGCCCTGAAGGGTTGCCAGTCGATTCCCAGTGAGAGCACATACCCAGGTTGCAGGTTCAATCTCCAGGCAGGGTTCATTCAACCCCCAGTCAGGCGCTCATGCGGGAGGCATCCAATCAATGTTTCTCTCTGACATCAATGTTTCTCTCTCACCCCCCTTTTCCATCCTCTCTCTCTAGAATCAATGGAAAACATATCCTTGGATTTAAAAAAAAAAAGAAAGAGTGTTTGGAGAAAATAATTGCATGATTCACTAATGTTAATCATTTTTTCTATATATGTTTGCCTAAGTCATTTTTCTAATAAATTCTGTACAAAGCAAAGCATGAGAGAAAGTTGTGTTACATACAGTTCAGACGACCAGCTACAAATGCTGGTTCCACTACTGGCTGGTTGTGTGACCTTGGGCAAGTTTCTTAATCCTCTGAGTCTCAGTTTTCCCTTCTGTAAAGTGGGGATGAAATACAAACTCCATGAGGTTATTGTGAGAATTAAATGAGATAGCACAGGGCCTGGCATGTATTCAGTACTAGTTAGATTTTAGTAGCACTTCTGAAATGTCGATAAAGTACTTTTAACTTTTCAAGGCACTTTTCTACCTGAATTCATCTATTATAAAGCTGGTGCCAGGAGGGTAAGGGACTTCACCGAAACCATGCAGCCAATTTGCAACAGGGGCTGATCTCCTTCCCTTGGTGTCTGGGGGTTTACATATCCTGAAGGTGTGTGTATAAAGACAAGTCATTAAATTGGCAGGAATTGGCAGCTTGATTTGACAAAAATGCCCCAAATCAATCCTGGACCCTTTCTCTATAACAATGGGTGGCCATTTCTGTGTTACTTTTGGTTTGAGGTTACGTGAAAATTGGGATTCATTTGGCCTGAAAGAAACACAGCAAAGATGCTAGGACTTAAATGCAGGCCCTACAACGCCATAACCCATGCTTGTCACTGCTGTGTGTGCTGGTAAGTTCGGCACCTGACCCGGTGACCAGGGTCTCAGCTGGCTCTCTCCCTGCAGGTTCTGTCCAGCTACCCAATCAACAACATGGTAGGAGCACCCACTGTGTACCAAATGCTGCTACAAGAGGGCCTTTCCAGGTGATGGGGCCTTGGGGGTTGGTTAGAACCTCTGGGTCTATTGGCCCATCCTCTTGCCTCTCTGACTTACACACGTGCCCATCTATCTGACCTCTGAGCATGGTTGACCCATAAGGTCAACGTCATCGTCAAAGCACCCAGAATCCAGCTCTGGGCCTGGGCAGAGTTTGGTGCAGGGAGGCTAAGGGGGAACACTGACCTCTCTTCTCTTCTTCAGTTACAAGTTCCCACATCTACAGAACTGCTTCAGTGGAGGGGAGACCCTGCTCCCAGCCACTCTGGAGAACTGGAAGTCCCAGACAGGACTGGACATCTGGGAGTTCTATGGCCAGACAGAAACGGTACCTGCTCCTGGGGGGCATGAACTGGTCAACCTGGGCAATTATTCTTTGATTATAAAAATATGAGCCACCATTTATCACGTGCTTATCCCATAGATATTTGTTGAGCACCTACTGTAGGATAGGTACTGAAAATTCAGCAGAGAGTAAAACCTGCCAGACTCTCATGGAGATTGCATTCCCATGGGAGTGGGGGAAAGAGACATGAGCTAATAAACACACGACATGGCAGAAAGAGACATGAGCTAATAAACACACGACATGGCAGAAAGAGACATGAGCTAATAAACACACGACATGGCAGAAAGAGACATGAGCTAATAAACACACGACATGGCAGAAAGAGACATGAGCTAATAAACACACGACATGGCAGAAAGAGACATGAGCTAATAAACACACGACATGGCAGAAAGAGACATGAACTAATAAACACACGACATGGCAGAAAGAGACATGAGCTAATAAACACACGACATGGCAGAAAGAGACATGAACTAATAAATACACAACATGGCAGAAAGACATGAACTAATACACACACGGCATGGCAGACAGCGAGAAGGTCTGTGGGGAAAGGTGAAGATGAGTGAGATGGGGTGAGGTGGGATGAAGGCCTGGCTTTTCAGAAATGGTGGTCAGGAAAGTCCTCGTAGTGGGGTGACATTTTAGCCGAGACTTGAGTTTGTCAAANTGGTAGTAGGGTGACATTTTAGCCGAGACCTGAGTTTGTCAAACTCGTCAGGCACTATGCTGAGCTGCTCAGACTAAAGTGAGGGGTGAGAAGAACCCCCTGGGAGCCCCGCCTCACCTGCTGTCGTATCTCCTTGGAACCCCTGGGGCCCCTTGGGCCCAATGTGGATTCACTGTGCCACTTGCCAACACAACCTGGGAGTGCTGTCCCCCAGCTTCTTTCCCCGGTACCCGTCACTTGTGGCTCTCTGTACCTGTCCCCACCTCCTTGCCACTCTTTCACCCGACATCCTTCTGTGGCTAAGGGGACCCCGGCGGAACCGAGCGGGCTCCTGGCTGCGCTGCGATGTGGAAGAGGTTTGCGCTGTGGGAGGACAGTGCACGCACGGCCGGGGCCCAGCCATTCGGAGGGAGCCTTGTTCAGAAAATACTCCTTTGACACCAGCCTCTCTGTAGGAAAATTTATTTCAGGATTCAAGCAAGGCTGGCCCTCTTATGGGAGGCAATTTAATCCCATCAGATTTTAAAGGACTTTTGGTGTCCATGGGCCCTTAGGAAAGTATGGATCTNTATAAGGTTTTAAAGGACTTTTGGTGTCCATGGGCCCCTAGGAAAGTATGGATCTCCTTAAAAATATGATAATGTGGTTATTAGTTCCTTTTTCCTGGGGAGCAGTCAATCAGATTGCGTTCCAAACAATTTAGTGCAACCCCTCGGATGGGGATTCCAGGAAAAGGGAGAGAGCCAGGGAAACCAGAGGAAGGGAGCCAGCAAACGGGAGCCACCTTCTGGACTGTGCCAGGACCGGCTTTGTTGGACTTTTTCTGTGACCTTATGATCCTCCTGAAGTTGGCCCATCTGTTTACTGCTTCCCACAGGGACTCACCTGCAGAGTTTCCAAGACGATGAAAGTGAAACCTGGCTGCCTGGGGACTGCGGTTCCCAGTTACGATGTGCAGGTGTGTTAGGTGCACTCAGGCGGGAGGAGAATGGGGAACGCACGAATTTTTCAGTAACTTTTTTATTACACTCTTCATTGAGGAAAAATAATGAAAAGTAAACATATTAAAATAATATGGAAAAAGAGGGAGGAAGGAAAGAAAAGGGAAAGTTTTATATTCATATCATGCAGAAAAACACTTTGAATAGCGGCAAATTAGCTGGCTAGTTAGTTATATAAAGATATACATTTTTAAAACAAAAATAGGGGTAAATTTTGACATATCATTTTGTTACTTACTTTTATTGTTGAACAATCTGGGGTGACCATCTTCCCAGGTCAATTAATACTGACGTGCAGCAGGATCTTTAACGACTACCTAGTGTAGACAGCATGGTTCCACCACTCCTTATGCCTTCTGTCGGTCAATAGATGATTTCTAAAATTTTCACTGGTAAAAACATCACTACAATAAGTGTGTTGTAGCTAAGACTTTGCTCCCCTCCTTTATTATTACTCTGGGCTAAATTCCCACGAGTAGAATTCGTGTACGTGTGTCTATGGCTCTGTGCACAGTTGCCCAGACGTGGAGCATAACAATTTATATTCTGTTCAGTGTTGCCTGTAACTCCTGCTCCGACGACGCTAACCAACTATGGTGACCATTTGTGGGGCTCTCGTTTTAGTACCCCATTCATTCTGACAACAGTCCTGTGAAATAAACCGTTACTATCTTTGATTTACAGGGGAAGGCATTGAGACATAGGACTTAAGTAGCTCAAAGGCAACGAACGAGTAAGGTAGCAGAGCCGTAATTTGCGTTTTNTGAGTAAGGTAGCAGAGCCGAAATTTGCATTTTGATCTGTCTGACGTCCAAGTCCATGGGCCTCAGAGACAACGGGAGGCTGCTGTGTTTCCTGAGCTCCCGAAGCCAGAGGCTTCCCAAGCTCAACTGGTCCAGTCTCAGTAAGGGGCTTCACCTAACCCATTCCAGGCGGATGGACCAGAGATCTGGGTTTCAAACTCTTGGCTTCTCCTGGTTTCTGGTTCTTGTTTTCAGTCACCACTAGAGCAAGAGGGTCTCCACTTGACCAGCCCAGCTCTTCCATGCTGCTCTTGAAGGCAGCTCCTGCTGGCCGCGCATTCTTCCAATCGGCTTCTTCCTCCAGGTCGTAGACGACAAGGGCCATGTCCTGCCCCCTGGTGCAGAAGGAGACTTGGGCATCAGGATCAAACCCATGAGGCCCATAGGCATCTTCTCTGGCTACGTGGTAAGGGATGTGTCTCCCCACCACCGTCCCCTGGTGGGAATGTGGGGCTCTGGGGGGGACTCCTAAAGTTATGAACTTCCCGAGGGCATTGACAAGGAGATCCAGTGTCTAAGAATGGGCGCTTTGCCAAGTAAAAGGCTGGCCAATCACCCTGCATCCTTAGCCCGTCACTAAGGCCTCATCTAAAAAATGATCCTTATGTTTATTTGGACACCCCTTTCCACCCACAAGAACCGCTTCGTGGCAGAAAGCTTACTGCCCTGGGCTGTGCATGGCGGCTTCTCCCGGGGCAGCCCTGCGCCCCCCCTAAGTGTCATCTCCCTCCGCTGTGCCGTCGATGCTCTTGAGGGCCCCGTTAGACACCTCACGCCGAGACCGCACCGTGCAGCTGGAGGCTTTCCTGTCTTCAGGCCTCGGGATGTTACAACTCGATGAGCCTCGGCTCCAAACACCTCGCTCCAGAGGAGGCTCACGCGAGCCCCGCGCTGCTGAAAAGGGGCAGGGAAGGCCTCATATTAAATGAAATAATCAGTCGGTAATGATAGTTGCTGCCATTTATCGTGTGCTCACTACATGATACGCACAGTCCTAAAGCACGTCGCGTACATTACACTCATTTATTCCTCCCAATGACCTTATGAGATCCTTGGAGCCAAACTGCTTGAGTTCAAAACCCGACTCCACTGCTCACTGAGCAAGTGACTGATCTCTCTTCCTCGCTGTCCCCACCTGTAAAATGTGTGTTATAATATCTCATAGCACTACCATGGCTACCAAAGGCATTATTACCTGTGAAACACTTGGAGCAGTGCTGTGTAAGAGTGTGTAAAAGAAGAATTGCTGGAGACCCAAATTCTCACTCCCATTACACACACGAGGAAAAGTGAGCCTGAGACGAGGGCTCAGCCGCACCGTGCACTTCTCCAGGCCTTTCCTGGTGCTGTCCCCCTTCATTTCACACGTCGGTGAGGCAGCTAAGGCAGGGGCTTCTCCCCATTGGATAGTCCAGGGAACAGGTAGACTCAAGGCCCGCAGAGCTAGTGCCAGCAGGGGCTGAACGGTGACCAGGAGGAAGAGTCAAGGTGGGGGTCAGAGATTTGACTCCAGTCAGCTCTGTCATCTGTAATGGCTATTAGGCTTTGGACATGCCTCCTGGTCCGTCTGACCTTCCGTGCCCTTATTTTCCAAATGACAAGGCCAGCCTATGAGCTCCCTACGCTGCCTTCAAGCCCAGTGAGTGAATGTCCAGTCCGGAGCCCACACTCCTCCACCTGAACAAGACACAAAGACGCACTAACAAGGGGCGAACCCCAAACCTTCTCACTGTTCAAGAACAAGTGCCTCNTACACTAACAAGGGGCGAACCCCAAGCCTTCTCACTGTTCAAGAACAAGTGCCTCAGCTGAACAGAGGGGTCCAGCCATTGTAGAATTATGCACATTGGCGGGGCCCAGGAGGTTTGCTGGTGTATTTCTAGAACTTTCAAATCTAAGAAAGGAGCCAGGAAAAATGTCTTGTAAACTTGGTACCTTTCAATGGTGTCATGAAATGGAGCAAGGGTTAGTTAGGCTGACCATTGAGGGGAAGGTGGAATCAGTCAGGGAAAATGCCCTGGAGCCCGGGTGAATGCATGCACTAATATTACTCCTTCGACTGGACCAGAGGAGCAGGGGAGAAACCCTGGGAGGAGTAACTGAAATCAAGGGGAGAGATCCAGTTCCGCCGGGGGGCTGGGTTGACAGGCTCAGGGCAACCCGCCATGCATTGCTGTTCAAGTTGTAAACTGCACAAGCTGCACATCTGCTCATGGCAGCCCTGGCCTGGGACACAGGATTTAGGCTCTGCAGGCACAATGACTATCTTTCTGTGGTCACTAGGACAATCTTGAGAAGACAGCAGCCAACATTCGAGGGGATTTTTGGCTCATGGGAGATCGGGCCATCAAAGATGAAGATGGATATTTCCAGTTCATGGGCCGGACAGATGATATCATTAACTCCAGTGGGTGAGCTTGGTTTCTGGGCTGGGAAGGGTAATCTGGATCTTTATTCTGACTGATTCTAGACTTTGGGGCTGGCCTAGGGGTTGTGTCTACTTCTCTCACAGGTGGGTTCTTCTACAGGTATCGGATTGGGCCTATAGAGGTGGAGAGTGCACTGATGGAGCACCCTGCTGTGGTGGAGACGGCTGTTATCAGCAGCCCCGACCCCATCCGAGGAGAGGTGATGGGGAGCGGCAGCCTGGGGTTGTGCAGATTTGGGAACAAGGACATACAGCGTAATGGTAAAGAGCATGTACTCTGGGGGCTGGACAGCCTGGGCCAAAATCTTGGCCCTACTTAGTAGCTGTGCGACCTTGGGCAAGTTGTTTGGCCTCTGAGCCTCAGTTTCCCATCTGTAAGATGAGAGGTTGCCTGGTCGGCATGGCTCAGCGGTTGAGCATTGACCTAGGATCCAGGTGATCAAGGTTCAATTCCCGGTCAGGGCACATGCCCAGGTTGCGGGCTCGATCCCCAGTCGGGGGCGTGCAGGAGGCAGCCAATCAATGACTCTCTCATCATTGATATTTCAACTCTCCCTCTCCTTTTCCCTTTCTCTCTATAAAATCAGTAAAGATATATTTAAAAAAAGATGAGGGGTTGATGACTAAATGTGCTAACATTTATAAGGTGCTTGGACTAAGATCTGGCACATAGCAAGCATCTCAAAGGTCTTCTATTATTGGCACTTGAATCAGAATCTGATCTCTGACTGGAAGAACAGAGAGAGATCTGAGCCAAGAGACAGAGCCCCTGAGCCACGGGGTTTGCAGTGAGAATACGGGGAAAGTGAAGGACCCTTACAATCATGCAGGGCTACAGAAAAGACCCAGCTGGACTCTCATGGAGCTTGGTGGATGTGTGGAGAGAAGTCAAGGTTCAGAGGTGTGGGCCAGTGTCCAAGTACATTTCTGTAGGGTGCAAGTTGACAATNATGGGGTGCAAGTTGACAATATCATATCTCTGGCAAGTATGGGACATATCACCATAGAGATCAGAGGAGCCCCTAGGCAAATGGGGCCCAAAGAGAATCCTCTACTGAGAAAACTCTGTGTGCCAAGCACAGAGCTAAGCCAAGCTGTATGTGATTTCATTGTATTTCCCATGAATTAAGTATGACAACTGGATCTCCATATTATAGCTGTGCAAACTGCAGTTTGAAGAGCTTAAACAGATCATTGGGGGTTATGGTCCTCAGTCTTTATTTTCTTCTCCTCACTGTCTAGTTTCTCCCTGTCACTCTCTAGTGTCCCTGGGATAGGAAGTGAGCCAGGTCTCAGTCTACAGTCCTATTGCCCATCCCATAAGCCATTTGAGAGAGAACTGGACTCATGGCCGTTAGTATTCACAGTTTCTCTCTTTTTCTGGCCCCAAATATCTGAGGTTCAGTCGAGGGGACATAAACGTGGTGACTGTGGTGGAAGCCTTAACACTGACTTTGCATCATCCCAGGAGGTGACGCGGCACTCTGATCCTTTCTCTCCTGGCCCTGGCCCTCATCCCTGCTGCAGGTGGTGAAGGCTTTCGTGGTCCTGGCGCCGCAGTTTCTGTCCCATGACCGGGAGCAGCTCACTAAGGAGCTGCAGCAGCACGTGAAGTCAGTGACAGCCCCGTACAAGTTCCCGAGGAAGGTGAGGACTCTGGGCTCCCCAAACTTGAGGAAGGGGAGATGCCCTCCTCTCATATTTCCCTTCTCCCAGCTATGGAAGAGGTCTCCAGTTTCAAATTCTGCCTGACTATGACCAAGAAAGCCCCCAAAGAATCCAGCAACTACTATGGATACCTGAAAGTTGGCCTCAGCATTTGGCTCACTTTGAAAATCAGATGGTTCCATAAGAACAAGTTCTAGCCAACATTCCGGCCTATATTCCCACTCTCTGCCCCGAGGTCTTGCTATATTATTCAGGATTCTCTAAGCTGCAAGCAGCAGAAATCCCATTTGAAGTGCATTGCCCACACAACTGCTAAGTCCAGGATGTGTGAAGCCTTAGGCATGGCTGGCAACAGGTACTCAAATGATGTGGTCAGGGATGGCTCTTTCACCCCTTGACTCTCCTTTCTGTGTTGGCTTCATTTCTTGAAACGCTCTCCCTTTATAATGGCCCCCAACAGCTCCAAACATACATTTTTAGCAGCTTTGCAAATCCCAGTAGAAAAAGAGCATCCTTTCCCCAAAGGCACCAGCAAATCTTCAAGCTGATTCTCATTGGACCAGTCCAGGTTATGTGTCCATTGTTAAACCAATTCCTGTAACCAGGGAATGAGACACTCAGACTGACCAGTTCTAGGCCAGCTGATCACCCCTGGAGAGAGTGCAGGAAGGTGGGAGGAAGGGCTGCCTTACACCCAGGACCTGGACTGAGGGGGGAGAGGGTGGCTCCCCACAGGTCAGTGGACGTGCTGTTTGCAGAAAAGGCCAGAAGAACAGAATCCATTACATCTGTTTTCAGCTGTTTTCACTCCGGGGCAGGGAACTAAAGCCTAAAGGGAGACACAAAAGAGGGACCTAGTTTTTGGAGTTGGGTACAACATAGGAGTTTGCCCCAAGGAAAGATTTTATTTTTCTTATTTTGAGCCTGGGGTAGAAGGTGAGAGCAGCCGCATTAAGCCTAAAGCCCCTCAGATTCTTTTTTATTTTAAAGGTTTTATTGACTTCAGAAAGGACGGGAGAGAGTGAGGTAGAAACATCAATGACGAGAGATGGTCATTAATTGGCTGCCTCCTGCACGCCCCTTGCTGGAGATCAAGCCGGCATCCCAGACATGTGCCTTGACCCAGAATCAAATCGCAATCTCCTGAACATAAGTCGATGCTCAACCGCTGAGCCACACCGGCTGGGCCCCTCAGATTCTTGTGTAACCCGGATGCTCATTCACAATTTGTCTGCACAAGCTAATTGTCACTGGTGGGTTCCTGAGAAGCAGACTATGGAAAGGAGATTAACACGCAAGCAGGGGTTTATTAGGGAGTTCTTCGGGATGAACACAGGGAAGGGAAGGGGAAGGGGAAGGAATCGAGCAGAAGGTAAAGTTGCACTGTGATGTGGTTCAGTGGGAGCCTCAGCCAGTCCCATGGGGAGTTTTAAAGCTAGGACAACCTCTCAGAGTTTCCTGAGCAGCAGCAAGGGGGGGGGGGG